GCCCTGAGTCGCCGGCGATGGCGTGGGCTGCAGCCCCTGTGGCAGTGGGTTGCCATGGGCTACCGTATGTAGCCAGCAGCCAGCGTGAGCGGCCAGCAGCTGGTGACTAATGTGCCTCGCCCGGGAAGAGCGCAATGATAGTGCCAACTTGGGCCAGTAAAGCAACGTCCTCCACAACTAGACTGAAGAAAAAAAGGATAGCAACTTGTCTGTTCCCCTTCCCCCAATTCCCCAGCACTGTTCCCATCCCCCCAGTTCCCCAATAAAAAAATCTTAAAAAAAAAAAAACCTAGGCAGTATAAATGTTGGGTTGTCAGAAAAGTCATGGCGCATTTTTGCAACGAAAAACAGAAAAAAAAGTCATGACTTTTATGACAACCCAGTATATGTTGAAGTTTCTCAGGTAAGTGCTAAAATAATAGAAATACAGTGTTTAGCTTCTAAATTCATAGAGGAAAAAAATGGATGAGAAAAAAATCAATCTAAAAGAAGGCAAGAAAGAAGAGAAAAAGAAACATTGAAAAAATGAAACACTATAAAGTATATAATAAGATTAATAAGTCCAAGCATATCAATATTATAATATTGATAATAGTAATATTATCTAAATGTTATAATATTAAACTAAATGTTCCAATAAAGACAAAGGTATCCGACCTAATTTTTAAAAATCTACTTATATACTTCTAAGAAGAGATGCCTCTAAAATATAAGAATACAAAAATGTCAAAAGTAAAGGAATGAAAAATGTATGCCAGGCAAATTATAACCAAAAGAAAGCTGTGCTATTCACATTATCAAAATATTCTTTAAGACAAAAGCATAACTAGATATAAAGAAAAGCACTGTATCGTAAAAAGTTTAAATTTACCTGGAAAATATAATTCTAAATGTATATCTAATAATAGTATCTTAAAGTATACAAAGAAAAATTGACAAAATCACATGAAAAAATAGACACAATTACAGTCATGGTAGGAGATTTTAACACAATTCTCTCAGTAATCAATAGATCAAGCAAACAAATAAATTAGTAAACATATAGAATATTTGAATAAGCAATTGGGAAACCCACACATAGAAGAACACTGAACCCAATAGATGACTTTTTAAGTGCACAGAAGGGGTAGTTACAAAATTGAACACATAATAGGCCATTAAAGAAGTCTCAAGAAATTTCAAAGGACTGAAACCATCCAGATAATATTCTCAGATGACAATTCCCTTTCTCTTGAGTATGGAGTGGACTTAATGACTCATTTTTAACAAACAGAAAAAAAAAAAAGCAAAAGTGATGGTGTGAGACTTTGAAGACAAGTTCCCATAAGGCACTGCGACTTCCTGTGTTCTCTCTCTGCGTCATTCTCGCTGGAGGAAGCCAGCTACCAAGTTTTGAGGACACCTGAGAAGCCCTATGGAGAGGCCCACATGGTAAGGAATGGAGGCCTCTAGCCAACAGCCAAGTGGATAAACCTTCTTGAGAACAGATCCTTCCGATGACTGCAACCTCATGAGAGACCCTGAGCCAGAACCACCCAGCTAAGATGCTCCTCGATTCCTGACCCATGGAAACTGTGTGAGATAATGTTTGTTGTTGTAAGTTGCTAAATTTACAGAAACTTGTTGCTAAACTTGTTGATAACTAATACAATAGGGTTAAGGCAGATACAGACACAAATTATAGAATAAAAACATAGATAATAAGGTGCTAAACTGTGTACTATAGGAAACAAGACTGTGCACAATGAGGTGATAATTCTAAAGTACAAAAAACAAGCAGGAGAAAGAAAACATCAATTTTCCAAAAAGAAAGTAGAGTTGGAACTTAGTGCTTTATTCATCTGCACAACAAAAAAAAATAATTTGAGTACCAAATATATGCTGTATACTGAGCTAGGAAATTGAGCTACAAAGACAAATGTCTTGGCAATTGATTCTTGTCCTCAAAAAATTTACAGTTTAACAGGAGAGAGAGACAAGCAAATGAAGAATTACAACATGTGTAATAAGTGCTCTCTGATAGTGCCCTACAATTTTTGGAGATTAGGGAAACCTTCCTAGACAAAGAAATATCTGAACTTCAGGGATGCATTAGCCAAGCAGAGGAAGAGGTGAGGGACAATGATCTAAGCTAAGGAAATAGCATGTGAAAAAGCCGGAAGACAAGAAAACACAGCACATTCAAGTGTTCAAAATAAAGCTCAGGAAGTCTGGAGGTTTGGATTGAGAGAGTCCACGGTGGGGAGAGATAAGGTTGGAGAGGAAAGAGAGGCTGGATCCTGCAGACCTTGGGACCTCTTTAAAGAATCTGTGCTACATCAAGAGCAAGGGGGAGCCACCAAAGGGTTTTAAACTCCAAAGTTTTGGCAGAATAAGAGATGAGAGCAGCACCGTTTGAATGTACAGTGCTACCCAGTTGGCCAGGCCTTCAAAGATAGTTAGTACTGCATCTGACAATTAGTCCCCAGGTAGGTATTATTAACACCTTTGTAAGGGACGAGGCAACCCAGGTTCCTAGTGTTTGTTTTTGTGCCTCACACCAAGTCCCACACTGTTTGTAAGGGGTAAAGCTCCGAAGCTGCAAAGCTACGGCTTAAAACCAAAGAAAAGAAGGAACAGGGGAGTAAAGAAAAGGGTGACAGGTAGGGAACCAGTATGGCAGGACAACACAAAAGACAGTATTATGTTTTAAAAGCCAACTTCAACTATCTGTTATTGTAATAAACTTTCTTTAAAAAGTGTGTTGCCTTTCTATAGGTGTGTAAACATACAGGAATGTGTGTTAGACCCACTGTAATTATAGAGAACTAGAAATAACTCTGACAGGTTCCTGCTGCTTTCTTTTTATTTTTTTTTAAAGACTTTTTTTTCATTGGGGAACTGGGGGGATGGAAACAGTGCTGGGGAATTGGGGGAAGGGGAACAGTGTTGGGGAATTGGGGAAGGGGAACAGAGAAGTTGCTGTCATTTTGTTCTTCAGTCTAGTTGTGGAGGACGTTGCTTCACTGGCCCAAGTTGGCACCATCATTGCGCTCTTCCCGGGCGAGGCAGATCAGTCGCCGGCTTCTGGACAGCCGCTCACTGTGGCTGCTGGCCACTCACGCTGGCTGCTGGCTACACACGGTAGCCCATGGCAACCCACTGCAGCAGGGGCTGCAGCCTACGCAGTCTCCAGTGACTCACAGCAGCCCAGCTCCAGGTTGAGCTGTTGTTCAGCATCTTAGCTGTAGAGGGCAGTGTCACTGGCCCTCATATGTGGGATCCGAACCGGGGCCCTCTGGCATCCCAAGCCAGTTCTTAACCATCGTGCCACTTGGCCGGCCCCCTGCTGCTTTCTTTACAATAGCATGTGCCCTGTGACATTTATCAGTGTCCTTGACCTAAAAAATATAAATGCACACGTGATAACTACCACTCAGATGCCATGTTGTGCCTTTTATGTGTGTGATTCCACTGCAGGTGAAACCAGCAAAGCTCCCCAGTGAGAAGGAACACCTGCCCAGAGGGTCCTGCCTGCCTCCAGACAGCTGCTTCACAAGGAGCGTTCTTAGTGTGAAGAGCAAACAAAAGCAGAAACATGCCTGCTGAGCAAAAGGACATTCTCAAAACCCTTAACTAAAGAAAACAAAAACAAAAAACAATCCTTAGCTGCATTCCTGAGAGTGCTATTGATAATTTTCTCCAGGCCCTTCATTTATATAATGTACCTAAGTATAAATTCTCAATTACTTTGAAGAATTTTCACTGAGAAGGCTTATAACACAGCAATGCAAAATTCATTTGTATCAATAACTATTATAATGAGTAGATGGTCCTATCATCAGATCAAATGTCTGGATGTACATTTGAGGGTTTGTTGGGGGCAGGGGGGGTTGTTTGTTTAAAAAAAATACTGCATATTATTTTTCTTACATATTTTAGTGGTAGAAGAGGAAGAAAATAAGTATCTACCATGGGAAATAGGAAAAGGCTGAAAAGATGAAAGAGAATAGGATAAGGGCAGATACATTGTTTTAAATTTGATGGCTCTATTTGTTAATATGTAAGCTAAAGAAGAGTGCAAACACAAAACAAACGCATTTATAATAGAGGGATCTCTTTGATAATACCTGAACCCTATAATCAATCCCAGTCTCAAAATCACAAAAAAGTGGCCAATCAGACCTCATGTGCTTCAAAATGTGCAATAAAAACTGCCTAGAACCACCAAAAAGTTAAAAAATTAAACATGGATCTGATCAAGCCTCTAGACCTACTTACCCATTTACAGGAAATACAGAGGACAGAGGTACAAATTAAATGACACCACAGGGAAGCATTTAGCTAAATCCAGAATACTGGACATTCCGCAAGACAAACAACATGTTTTCTCCCACAAATCAATAGCATGAGAAGAAAAAAAGAGGAACAATTGAGATAATAGATACCTAGAAGAGTCTTATCAATCAAATACAGTGTGTGGAATTTGTATCCTGAGTCCAATGAACCAACTATAAAAAGACATCTTTGAGGCAATCAGCAAATTTGAATATGGTAAGGGCGAAAAATACTATTAAGGAGTGCTGATGAATTTTGTTAGGTGGGATAATGGCACAGTGGTCTTGTTTTTTAAAAACACCCCTCTGGTTTAGAAATTCACACTGAAATCTGTACTGGTGAAATAACAAGATATCTGGCTGGACTTTCCTTTTAAAACACTGCAGATCTTTTCTGTTTAAAGAAGGCTAGAAGAAACAAGATAGTCAAATAAATGTTGGCCGATGTATGGGCTATGAGGGTTCATTATACTATTCTCTCTACTTTTGTGTGTGTTTAAAATTTTTCCACCGTTAAAATTAAGGAGGAAAATGAACTCACTTAAGGGTCGATTTCTGTGGCAGGACACTGCCATGTGGTACTTTAATGCCATTTAGGTCACTTAGAAACTAAGTGACTTTGGAAATAAAGACTCTTGGAGCCCAACAAAACCTCAGGAGTTATTTTTTTCCCTTGAATTGCAGATGAGAACGTTGATGCCAAAAGGCTGAGTGACCCAAGATACACAGCCAGCCTGTGGACTACTAGGAATAAAATCCAGGTTCTCCATCCAGCCTTCTTCTCCAGCATGTGGCAGACCAATTACTTCATTCTCCTGGAACTCAGTGTCTTTATCCCTAAAATGGGAACATGATATTACCTACTTTTCCTAATTCATTCGGAATTACCCCGGGGAGGTGAGAGGGCTTCGCAAAACTCTGTACAACTGTAAGACATTACTATGTTTAAATAATAAATATTGTTAAGCTTACCCAGTATAGAATGGCAAAACTCAGGGTTCACAGAAGAAGGGAGTGGGACGGGAAAGAGGAGAGTAATAAATAACAACAGAATGGTTTTAATGCTGCCAAGACAAATTCAGTGTAACCTCTCCCTGAATGAAGCAAGATGATTGGAAATGGAGCAACAATAGCTTCAAATTAAACCTGAGAAAAAAGACAGCTCATCTTGCATCTTTACCTGAGAGGAGCGTTCAGAGGGAGCCTCCCACGTGACAGGAGTTGCCATCAGGGATACTCCCTTGTTCCTCTCTGGCAAATCCTTTGCCCGAAAGCCAGATGGCTCCCTGCTGGGGGCCCAGCCACAATAGTGTGCCTGCCAACCAAGAGGTGTGACTTCCCTAATTGGCAAAGTCTGTTCAAGTGTCTGGCCACCAACTGACAGATGCCAGTGTTGACAGTGGGGAGGAGGAACCTGAGGGGATTTAACAGGGATGAGAAGCATGTGATGTCTGAGAGGCAGAATTCTCCCATTACACTGACTCATCTTTTGCTCTCCCCTGGCTTTGGAGTCGAGGGACGTCAGCAACATAATTGGCTGTTTGGGTAAAAGACATTATAGTAAGAGAAGTCAGATGCCCACTCAGGGACATCTGCTCTGCAGAGCGCCTACCAAAATAACTTTGGGACCAAGAGGGAAAAGAAGGGAGGAGGAGGAAAGACAAGTGGAGAATTAAGATACCTGCCTGCCTACATCTACCACTCCACGCTGGCGAGCAATGCACTGGCGGCGAGCAGGCTGAGCCATGTTTCCAGGGGCAGCAGAGAAAGCCTTTCTACCTATGAGACTTGAGCAACAATTCCAAAAGAGAAGTCCTCCATGGAGTGGCCCCGAGTGTGGGAGTCCAACGGTTTTGCTTCTTTCATTCATTTTGTCATTCAACAAACATTTGTTTAGCATTTACCCTATATGCCAGGTGCCAGGTTAGATGCTGGCAATCCCAAGATAATGTGAGCACTGGCAGATGCAAGCTGTTTTTAGGCTATTGGGAGAAACAGAAAAGAACAGGTGTTTTTTTTTTACAACATAGCTAAAGCATGGTTTCTGTGGAGGCATCTAACTCAGACATGAGATTTGAACCTAGGCTCCCCACTGGCTTGCCGGGTGACCTTGTTTCAGCATCTAATCGCCCTGAGCTTTTGTTTTCTTACCTGTAAAACAGGAATAAAGCTGCTTTTCTCTTTTACAGAGAGGCTCAAGGGAGCCTGTTCCTGAGAGGTTTGTAGATGTCCCATGTGTGCAGCAGCTTTACTAATGGGGCTGATCTTTTTTGATGTAAGAAAGGCTTTTGATTTCCAGAAAATTATGTTTCAATTTAGTCTCCATTTTTTGAAATGTGTGAGACCTCAGAAAAGAATAAATAATTACATGACAAAGATTTCCCACATAAGGAGAGATTCTTGGGAAGACACACTGTTCAATTGGTGTGTCACAATTAGGTACAACATACACAGCATGACAATGGTTGCCATTTATTCAGCATTTACTTTATGCCAGGCTCCTTGCTATGTGTTTTGCACATAGAAAAACGTCTCATGTAAGTCCCAAAACAATCTAGTAAGTTAACTTGATTATCTTTACAGATGAGGAAATTGAGACCCAGAGATGTTCAGCAACTTGCTCAGGATCATTAAGCTAACAAGTGGCAGGGGTGGTGGGGGGGCCTTAGTTCAAATCTAAACCTACTTGACTTTGAGGCCCTTGTTTTTAAGCCCCAGACTGCACCATCTCAGCTACTGGTGGAAAAGGACAAAACTGTGATTCAAGAAAGCCATCATAGCAATGCACAGACCCATGAGGCAGCAGGGCTGGAGGGGAACATCAAGGTCATTTGCTCTCCTTCTCCATCCCCAACGTATTTTATATAGGAGAAAAATGAGTCACAGAAACATGAAGTATGCCGCTGGGAAAGGTCAATTTTCAATTGTCCAGTAATCCCGTGATCTTCCCACCATACAGCATAGCCCTGGCTGCAGGTCACTAAGCAGAGCCTCAGGAAGACAGATTTACAGGCGGTGACTTCATAAGGACTAGAACAGGCAAGGGTCAGGAGCTGACCACTTCTGAGCCTCTCCTTCTTGACCCATGTCCCTCTACTAATGCCCAGCCTGCCCTCTGGCTCTTGGGAATATCATACCCTGGACCAGTGGTTCTCAAACTTCGGCAGGAAGACTACTGGGCTGCAGCCCGAATTCCTGATTCAGTTGCTTTGGGAAGGTGGGGGGCAAGAATTTGAACTTTTTTCAAATTCCTAGGTGATGCTGCTGCTGCTGGTCCAAGGACCACACTTTAAGAACCACAAGTATATAGCATTGATTATGAGAAGGGATGGAAGACTAAATAATGTGATATTTAGTCAAAAATCACTAGTTGCTCCCTAATAGTTATTCTCCCCTTCTGCAGTAATAGAACCTTGATTATTTAACTGAGCACATAGCCAACCCAACAAAAAAGACAATATTTTCTAGCTTCCTTGCAGCTAGGTGGTCCCTTGTAGACCATGCGATCTAGTTACAGCTGATGGGATATGAGCAGTAGTGATGCACGCAACTTCCAGGCTGTGCTTTCAAAAGGATACAGCAGGCCCTTCAACTGCCTCCTCCATGCTGGCTGGAGTACAGACATGGAAGGAAGTCATCTTGGACAATTTAGAAGGAGCAAGGGCCACTGATGACTGAGTGGAACAGAGTCTTTAACCATCTTGGACTTTGATATGAAAGAAAAATAAACTCCTATCTTCATTTAAGCCACTGTTATTTTGGAGCCAAACCTATATCCTAACAGATATAGATATACCAACAAATCATAGAGAGCCAGAAAGTAAGGTAGATAGGTTGATCACTAGAGCAGCTTAACAGATAGATAATTAAAGGAGATTATTATTCACCAGTCAGAGCCCAATATGTAACAGACACTTGATCTGGAGAGCGAGATAGTTACACAGATATATCAACAATCAACTCACGTTGGTTTGGTCTTTAACTTTGCCAAAAGTCATTTAGTTGTTTCTAAAGATTTCGTTTCCACTTAACAATTATAGAAAATGTTTCCCAGTCATTTTATTGCCCTGCCCTACATTATACCTATAATCTTCCTAACTTGGATTGTTATCTGATATACAATTATGTTTCTAGAAGACTGGAATCTCAGCAGATGATTTAAAATAAAAGTTAAATGGATATAATTTATGTTTATTTTTGTCATATTGAAACCAAATAGTATAGAATTGCCAGTGTCTGTTGAACAGGGATGGTTTGAGCCAAGTAGATATAGTTTCCCTTTAAATAGCATCTTTGAAGAAAACATATGGGGATGAGACTATAATTGTCCAAGCAAGGAAGGAAAGAGAAAAGGTCAGATCTCACCATGGCCAGGTTCTATCTGTGCAGATTCACTTTCATCCATATGTTACTTTAAAAAACTGTGGCACCTGTATTGGTCTTTGAAAAAAATAAAATCAAGAGTCAGAAGAAATAGCAAAAATCAGAGCATCTCAATGTTGATGAATAACAACAAAAAATTTATATAGTTCTGTAGCATTTCAGAGTTTGCACAGCATTTCACAACATATTATCATATCCTCAGGTGAAAGAAGCCAGAAAATGTTTTTCCTTTTAAAATAAATTTCCAATAGTCATCATCCACATACATGAAGTTGCTGGTTGATAATGCTATGTAGAAGTTTTAGAGCAATGAACTTATTCTCAAGATCGGCTGCCAGGTCTCCCTCAATAATATATGGCTTATCCTGAATTGTTCCAAATTGGGGATGTCAGTTAATTGGATTTGAACTGAAAACTTTGGATAAGCTGTTTTCTGACACTTCTGTCCGTTCTTAGAACCTAGAACAGTGCCTGACATATAGATGTCAGAAAGGAAGGAAAGAAGGAAGGGAGGGAGGAAAAATGAATGAATACAACATACATAGAAGCAAACAGAAACTGAGATGAACAACTTGGAATTCTAAACATCCCACAATGCAATGTACTTTATGAGGGATTACAGAGCTGATTGAAAAGAATCCTACCTTTCCATTGTAATACAGTCTCTGGCAAAGCTGTAAGGTGATTACAGGTGACCATACATAGCTGGGATTCAGTTACATGGAGTAATTCTGAAACAAATGTGTATTAACAAAAGCCATTGACAATATTTATGGTAAGACAGAACATCCATGCTAATTATAAATCATGAGCAGTAAAAAGGAATATATATTTAAAAGAATAGACTAAGTAGTTTCAAAATAATCTTCAAATTTTAATAAGGGTGTCTCCTGTAACACCCACTGTGATTTCATCAGACTCTAACTATAACTTTCAAATTAGACTGTGACTGTGGATCTCCCATGTCTGATGTCATCAATGGAAGATAATTTCACTGTTCTGTAAATTACCTAACAAACTAAAAAGAAAATATTTTTTTACAACCTTAGAAATTATGCTGACTAGATGCTCTCCCAGAAATTAATCATTCTAGCTGAATATATAAATCTGTTTTTATTAAGGTTTGGAGAAAATAAATTAATGAAGGAAGAGACATAATGAGGAGTTAAAGGAAAGGAGGGTGGGTTGGGGTCAGTCCCCCGGGAAGATGACTGAGCCCTCCCACAATGCATTTCTTGTGACCATCAGAGATGAACAGGGAGAGCTGTGGAGGCACCTTTAAGAAGTTTATGTGACTATATTATTGTTAAGAAAGTAAGTTCCAATAAGAAAACACTGCTGAAAGTTATTTCAAGAAGGAACCAGTCCATCATGAGGATTTTTTAAATAAAGAAATTAAAGGCTGTTTGGCTAGAAGATATCACTCTTCTTACATGTTCTGCGATGGTTAAGCAACTTGCATAGCAAAGTGCTTCCTGTTCCAAGAAGACGGAAAACAAGAGG